CGATTCTGAAGCTTCACGCGCAGGCTCGTTTTCCTCCCCTTCAGAGTACGCTCTTCTTTCTTTGTTCAACTAATTTTAAATTTTCATCTTTTACCATTCAGCTTGCAACAAAATTATGCTGCTGTATTTTTTTTTTTGAGTGACTCTTTTAACAAGGAGGACAATCTAATCCAAAAATTGTTAATTCATTAACTTTTATAAAAACCTTTAGTTTTGCATTACTCTTTGAAGGACAAGATTGCTCGTTAAATAGCTAAGTATTTTCCTTTTTAGTCTACTAAAGTAGCATTTTTAAATTTAATTTTGTATTTGTTTCAAAAATATTTTTTGGACAAACATCCGTTAATATTTTGAATAAAGTTAAAGAAAATAGTTGGCTCCAAAGAGAAATCTTTTCCTTATCATCATTAAATATTTCAAAACTAAGAGAGATAATTGAAAGATGAAGACATTTTATAAAAATTAGTGAGTTGTCAATTTTTAAATGGTGATGAGTACAAGATTTGACTCCCTCTTAAAGTTGACATGGCAGAATCTAGAACAATATAATTATTAACATGGAAGCTCATCTATATTAAGGTTGAAAAAAAAATAAAAGAAAATATATAAAAGAAGCTATCAATTTTATAAGGGGATTAAGGAAAAATAGGTAGAACAAGATGGAAGCACAACTCAGTAAACAATGGAAAAATAAGACTTTTAAAGGTATATTTGAGATGTTAATTATCACGATTATGCTATATTAACATTTTATTCAAAATACTAACCGATGTTTATTCAAAGGATATTTTTGAAATAGGGGAAGAGTCAACCTTAAAGCTTAGAAAAGATAGATATAATTTTAATTTTAAAGCAAATTAATTCAAAGGGATTTTTTTTATAATTTAGTCTTAATTTTATTAAAAGAATAAATACTTACCTCTTTGGTCGGTCTGTCGTCAGCATGAATCTTCCTACTCCTCGATACAAAAATTTTCGCTTTTCTTTAAAATAAGAAAATATCTTATTCTCTCCCACCCTTTTAAATTTCTCCATCTTGTCAAAAGCATGGTTATCCAAAGATTTATACTTATCCACCAAGGGGTAAATTTTATTTTTAATATAATATTTTCCTATCCAATATTGTGCAAAGCGATGTCGAATCATTACTTTATAGTTCAATCAACCTGCCACGTAAACATTAGAAAAGAACAAAAATCCACTAAAATGCTCAATGTTGATCAGGGTGCATGGAGGATGAGATACCAGAGCTCCATCCTTTGAGATTCAAAGACTTACCACTCCCAATCACTTTTGATTTCTTTAAGTTTACACAAATAATTCTCAACATGTACGCCATCACCACAGCTTCAGCTGTTATATGGAACACTATGCCCTGGCTTGAACCATATGAATTCACCCAAATCCAAACCAAACTTTGCAAAATCCCCATCTTCCCAATTGCCCCAATCCACAAGATTGCCTCAACTCCAACCTCAGCCTCTTCAAGTTTGCTCCAAGAAGACTCCACTTGCCTGCCATGGCTCGACAGACAGCCTCCCAACTCAGTCATCTATGTCAGTTTGGGCAGCCTAGCCGTGTCGACTCAACAAGAGCTAGAGGAAATGGCTTGGGGTCTGGCCGATAGCAGACAACCATTCTTGTGGGTTATTCGCCCGGGATCTATTCAAGGCTCGGATGGAGTTGGATCCATGCCAAAAGGGTTTCAAGAGAAGGCTGGAGATAGAGCGTGCATCGTGCAATGGGCTCCTCAAAAAGAAGTGTTGGCGCACAAAGCCGTTGGCGGATTCTGGAGCCATTGTGGGTGGAACTCGACACTTGAGAGCTTGAGTGAGGGCGTACCAATGCTGTGTAGGCCGTATTTAGGAGATCAAACGGTGAATGCAAGGTATATTAGTTGTGTATGGAAGGTGGGCTTGACATTGGAAGATAGGTTGGAGAGGAATGAAGTAGAAAGGGCAATTAGAAGAGTGATGGTGGAGGAAGAGGGAAGGAAGATGAGGGAAAAAGCCATGGATTTGAAGGGGAGAATTGAAGATAGTTTAAGGGAGGATGGGTCTTCCTCTTCTAGCTTGAAACAGCTTGTGGACTTCATAAAGACATTATATTAAGATAAAAAAAAACAAATAAAGCACTCATCTCTTTAAATTTTTTCTAGAAAGTTGGTAGTAGCGAAAGATAGGTCACTACTACAAAACTGGTCTTCCATAACAGTTAAACTGTCACTGACTTAATTTGTGACACTTAATAACAGTCATGGATTAAGGCATCATAGAAATGGAGAACGTGACCGTCTTTTAAATTTGTCATTAATGCATTTACAATGACGGTTATAGTTTGTCACGAATTGATCATCCACCACAATTTAAAAATGTCACAATAACTCATTTGATGATAGTTTATAATTGTCACTAAATGAAGCAAAGATTTTGACATCCGGTCATTAAAAACGTAGTTGTGACAGTTTATAATTGTCACAAAAATATATATAACGACAGTTTAACAATGTCATGGAACATTTAATGATGACATTCTGTAAACGTCACAACAATATGTATAACGACAATTTAAAACTGTCACAAAACATTTAATAAGGACATTTTTAAACGTGACAACAATATATACAACGATAACTTAAAACTGTCATAGTACATTTAATAAAGACATATTTTAAATATCATGAAAATTGGTATAGTGACAATTTAAATTTTTGTAATGTACTTTTATAACTGTTACAAAACTTTTAACCGTGACAATGTTCATAAAGTAGTCAAGAAAAGTTCGACAATGACAATTTTTCTTTTTTGCCACGAAACATATTTTATTGAGATTTATAAATATTTATGGTACTCTTTTAATTGTCATAACTGTTGAAACCATGATATTTTTTACATAAGAATAAATCTGTCATGAAATATTATTTAAATGAGTTGTTTTCCATCCTACAAAAGCATATATAAAAAGAAATACGAATCAAGAAGTCATATAAATAAATGAAGCATTCATACATAACATAAATTACAAACTACATTTGAATGTACATCAACCCCATACCTAAATAAACTATTATAGTAATACATAAAACATGAAGTCCCTGCTAACCCAACCATTCTCAAATCAAAGTTCTCCATGGCGCTTCTCACAAGACCTAAGCAATAAAACAATGTCAAATATTCTTCCATAACGTAGTAATTGTGAAGGGGTCAAACTATAGTATTTAGCTAACATATTACAATTTTATGGAATCAGAGTTCATACCGCGTACACGTTGAAGGTACACCAACATATTTTTCAACATCATTCTTTCTCGAACCGTTGCTCCCACCAAGCTACAACAACATATTCAAAACAAACAATTAAAAATACATTAATATGAACTCATACATTAGTTTGTCTCGAACGAATATTTGCACTCTAACTAACATGTTGTTAACAAATCATAAGAACAAATATTGTTTTAGCTAAACTATGAAAACAAATTCATAACTAATTACCATTCTTTTAGTTCAACATATGTATGAGAAATACTAATTTGAAGAAGGTATAACTACAGCAATTATAACGAACTCAAGGCATGACTAATTTTGGGGGAGGGGAGTTTGGATAAGATATGATATCATACATTGGTTTGTCGACATAGAATAATCTCACTTTCACTATCTATAATTTTTTTTTTTAGAAATCATAAGATATGTTTAAGCTCAAGAATGAGAACAATCTAATTAGTTGAGAACCTAATTATCTAACTTAACTATTTCTCTTAAGCTAATTAGTTGAGAACCTTAGTTAATTTAAATAATTTCTATAAAAAATAGAATGAAAATAATTTGAGGCATGTATATATAGTGATGTTTTCAAATTTCTATATATCTTGTTTCTCGTACGTTTTTCCCTTCGTCTTTTAAAAGAAAAAAATGACAAACATAAGAAATGACAATCTAGTATACTTTATGAAATATGTAAGCTATATACCTAAAAGTATAGATCATATAATTGGATGTTAACGTGTAAGACGAATAGCACAGAGTTCGAAAATGTTAAATTTTTTATGATTCTATCGTACATGATTGAGTTGCGTAAATTTCTAGACAAGTATGTATATTGTACAAAATTATTTTTGGTTAGATATTAAAGATTTTTGTGACTACATGAAAATATTATTAGATTTTCAGAATAATAAATTATATAATACAATAAAACATAATAATACAAAATTTATAACAATATATTAATACATTAGTTAATAAAATTTTAGACTAAACTAAATATTTAATTGGTAACTACATTAGTTTATAAATATATTAGTCAATAACGAGTTTCAAATCAAGATTCAATTTTCAAATCTATTAATATTAAATATATATTCGAAAATGCCTTTTTTTTCTGAATTTATTATTTCCAGATCAACTGAAATGAACAAAATTTCTCGACCTGTGATGAAAAAGATCATAACCACATCAATTTATTTCTTTGTAGGATTAAAACCAAAAGGGAATGGAGCAATTAATTCTCCACGTCAGCCAATCAATTTTTTTGCAGGAGAGAGAAAGTGACTGAATGGAAGAAAAATATTTTTGTTTGTTTCATTAAAAAGAAAGTGAATAATCCCATGATGCCACATATCACATGCAATAGCTTCCACAATTTTTACAAATATATTTCTAATATGTCAAAGCGGAATTGACATATCTCTCATTAAGGATTGTGACTTCAATCTCTCACTTTCACGTATTGTACTAAAAAAAATACCTTTCTAATATTTGAGTTTAAAAATAAGATTTTATTTGGTTTCTAAATTTCAAAAATTGACAATTTGGTCCCTTCGATGTTTAGAAAGTAAGTTTTTATTCGATCTCTAACGAAACGATGACGTGGCACATGAAGTGAATATTTATAAATTTTATATTAGTTTATGTGGCATCTTTCTCCTTTTCCTTTTCCATTTTTCCCTCTCTTCTCTTCTTTTTTTACTCCTCTCTCCCCTTCCCCTCCCGACTTCCTTTAAAATTTTTGGAACATAATATTTTTTTTTAATTCAAATTTGAATAAATATATTTTTCATTAAATTTAAATATTAAATATTTTTTACATGAATTCAAAAATAAATAAAAATAACCAAAATAGAACAGCACATGTCAAGAGTGATTACAAATCCTTAATTGCTGGAATATAATTCCAAAAATGTTGTTGGAGGAATGTCTCCAATTTTATATTTCTCCCCTCCCACGAAGGCTACTTCCATCTTAGAATTGAAGCGAAGATCGAGAGGAACGGAAGAGCAAAAGTACTTCAAATATTGAAAAGATAAGATTTTTTTCAGTTGATAAATGTTAAATCGTTTGATGACATCGTAATACTTGGTGAGTCGTTAAACCAGCTCAACGAAAAAAAAAGAAAAAAAAGTCAAAATTTAAAAAAACTTAAGCCAAAATTTTGATTTTAATCAAGTGTATTTGAATATCTCACATTAATTTAGCTTTAAATTCTTATAAAAATTTAGAACTAAATGAATGTGAGATATTTCAATAAAATGATCTCGTTATTTTTGTTAAGTTACTTATTAATAAAAAATATATACTAGAATATAAAGGATTAAATAAAAAAATTTTGAACTAATAGGAGCTGAAAAAAAAAATTCAAACCTAATGGAATAAACCATATTGGTAGGTTTTTTAATGAGCGCAAGAAAAACGGATTGTAGACGTGAACAAATTTAGCATTCGAATGCTTACTAGTGTCGCTCCGTTCGTGGCCTCAAAGGAGCCTTGGGCGGCACTGCCACCTAGGGTTCTCTACGACAAAGCACAACCAATCGTCAGCAAACTTAAGACTCTGATCCATCTTCAATATACTTTTGGTCAAAACTAACCGCATCAATCCAAGTTAATTAATAAAAAAAATATAAATAGAAAGTAAGAAATCCAGGAGTAGTTACAACTCTGAAAACAGCAATTAAGTGGGATAAATATATATATATATATATATAAATATTTGTGATTTTCATAATCGTATATCTTGCTATTTTTAACTGGCCTTAGAACTGAAGATTTCATTGTTTAGCTATTATGTTTTAGTTGAAGCATTGGTGGAAACCTAAGGACATCTCTTGGGTTTAACCATTTCAAAATTGGTTGGAGTATATTTCCATTTAAATTTAGGAAACTTATTTTTAATACAAATAAATATAAGTATAAATAGAAAATAAGAAATGTAAAAGTAATTAAGATGATAAAAACTGTTAAGATTATGTAACTGAAATTGGTTATTCAAATCTATTAGTTTGGTTAAGTTAATCGTACGGTTACTTCTTGTATTTGTATTTATACGAGAGAAACAAGTTGTATAGATGTGCGGTGATATTAATAAAATTCACTCCTTCCTCTATCTCCCGTTAAGTATTATGGTATCAGAGCATTTCTAAGTGGTGAATCCATTTGGCAATTCAGTGAGCTTTTCGTTCAATTCATGGAGCCGTGCAATGCTAATTGCACTTTCGACCAAAAATAAGGTCGGATTCATTGATGGAACGATCAAGCAACCAGATGGAAATCTACTCACAACCTAGAAATGCAATAATGATGTGGTAATCTCTAGGATTATGAACTGGTTTCGAACGAGATAGCAGCAAGCTTTGTTTATTATGATTTAGCAAAGGATATTTGAGATGCACTCAAGGATCGTTTCCAATAGAATAATGGACCACGAATTTATCAACTGCGAAAAGAATTTGAGACGATTTCTCAAGGTAATCTATCCATTGAAGCCTATTACACTAAGTTGAAAACAATTTGGTAGGAACTGTGTGAATATCGTCCATCGAATACATGTAGTTGTGGTGGATTGAAGATGGTTCTTGATTATTTTAATTCAGAATATATGTTATGATTTTTCTAATGGGCCTCAACGATTCTTATACTGGTGTTCGCGCACAAATACTTCTGATGGGTCTTATCCCACCAATTAATAAGGTTTTCTTCCTTATCATTCAAGAGGAGCATCAACAGTTCTGTTCAGCAACTGACATCTTCTTCTGAATCTATCACCTTGGCTGCTGCTACTGAAAATTCCAAAAGGACTATGAATGATCGACATCACAAGAAGGAGTATCAGCGCCCTTTACTGTACTCATTGGAACCTTAAAGGTCACACCATCGACCGCTGCTATAAACTCCATGGTTATCCACCGGGATATAAGCAACGCAATACTACATCTGTTGCATCTGCTTCCAGCATCGTTGCATCTGATAAACAAACTCATTATTCTGCTGCTACTAATGTTTCTTCTGACCAATCTGATTTTTTTTCTAGCCTCAATACTAATCAGTATGCTCAACTCATGGACATGTTTCACGTTCATCTCTCAACTGCCAAAATAGATGCTATATCTACTGCTCCTCAATCTCATGTAGCAGGTACATCTTTCTTGACCTTATCTTCTTTTACGCCAACCACTTCGCATGTATGGGTTATAGACTCCAGGGCTTCCACTCATATTTGTCACAATCGGGAATTATTTTCCATTCTGCGTCGAGTTTACAACCATACCCTGGTTCTTCCTACTTTATCACGTGTGAGTGTTGATTTTATTGGTAATATACATCTTTTGGATGATTTTCAACTTCATGATGTCTTATTTGTACTTGAATTCACCTACAATCTGCTCTCTGTTAGCTCATTACTTAGCTGCAGTGCATACCCAATCATATTTTCTGCCACTAATTGTCTTATTCAGGATAGGTTACGATTGAAGACGATTGGCAAGGCTAGCTGCATGAGTGGTTTATATCTGCTTTCTCGGTCATATTTGATATTTGTTAATGCTACTGCTGTTTCTAAGGTTTCTATCGATACTTGGCACAACCGCTTAGGACATTTGTCTTCTAAATGTCTTCATTTGTTGAAAGATACATTGGATCTATCTTTTGTTTCTTATACTGATTCTTGTTCCATTTGTCCATTGGAAAAACAGAGACGTTTACCTTTTGTCTCTAATAATAAAGTTGATGATTCTGTTTTTTATTTAGTCCAATGTGACACATGGGGTCCTTTTTCTACACCAACATATGCCGGATATTATTATTTTCTGACCATTGTTGATGATTGCTCACGCTTTACATGAGTCTATTTAATGAGAAACAAATCTGATGCATTGCATATCATCCTTTGTTCCTTTAAACTTATTGAGACACATTTTTCTAAAGTATTCAAGGTTTTTAGATCTGACAACGCACCTGAACTCCAGTTCACTATTTTTTTTTTTTTTTGCCTCAAAAGGTACTTTCATCAATTTTCATGTGTTGAGCGGCCTCAACAAAATTTGGTGGTTGAATGTAAACATCAGCATTTATTAAATATGGCTCGGGCACTATTTTTTCAGTCTTGTGTGCCTCTTCCATTTTGGGATGATTGTGTCTTGACTGCTACTTACCTTATTAACCGTACTCCCATACCTTTATTATCAAATATTGCCTCATTCACAGTTCTGTATAAACAAGATGTTTCTTATTCTTCTTTAAGGGTCTTTGGATGTTTATAATATGCATCTACTTTGCCATCACATCGAAGAAAATTTGATCCCCGAGCTATTCCTTGTGTATTTATTGGTTACCCGTCTGGGATCAAAGGATATAAACTATATGATATTAGCAGAAAAGAGGTCTTTGTTTCGAGAGATGCATGGGACTCTCTTTTTGTTACATCATGTTTCCACCCACTCTGAGACATTATTACATGATATTTTTGCTGATATTGTCCTCCTTTATCCGGCATCTGCACTTCCTATTGGGATTCACTTGGATTTCCATGCCCCTTTTTCGTGTGATGGTTCATTGCATGATGTTGACCACACGCAACACGCTGCTATTTTTTTATCACATTGTACAACACACTGCTCCATTTGCCAACGCTGACCAGCCGCTTGTAGCATCTATTCCGAATAGTGTAGCTGTACTGTTAGCCTTTTCTCCGACTGCACCACCCGCGGCTGCCCAGCCTGCAGCGTCTGATCCGTCTGCTGCCTCTGATTCGGACAATGTGGTTGTTCCATCCACATCTCATGGAGACTGGGACTGATTTATCTATTGAAGTTGTTTTTTTATGTAAAAATTACGGGTATGTAAATAAATTGTACGATAACTTTAATTAAAAATTGCTCAACTATCTTTAAATAAAAATTTATGTAAACAATACACAAATAAGAATAAAGTGGTTGTAGTTTAGTGGTAAGAATTCCACATTGTGGCCGTGGAGACTTGGGCTCAAATCCCAGCAGCCACAAATTTGTTCTCTTTTTCAAATTTTTGTTTTTCTTTTTAAACTTTTGTATTATTGCAATTTATTGAAGATCGACCTAAAA